GCCTAGGGGCTCCCTCTCCCCGTGGCTTTGTCTGCGCCGCGAGTCTGTGTGCGTCTCTGCCTCACGGAGGGAGTTCGGGTCAATCGGCCCCAACGGACGTCTACTCATCATGCAATTGCCATGCCATGCAGGCCGCTGTGGCTGTGTCCGCTCTGCGCTGTTGGTGTGTCGCTGTGCCCGCTGAGCGCGTGTTGTCTGCTGTGCGTGTGTGTTCAGTCTGCTCGCTGAGCGCGTGTTGTCTGCTGTTGCTGTTTGCTGCTCTGCTGTGTAAAAAAAAAAAGTGCGCCCTGTAGTCACAAATCAAGTCCTGTACTCTAAAACCTAGTTTAAGCGAACACAACACACGCACGCACTTTTTTTCCTGCATCGGCCCCTATATTGCGCTGAGCCCTCTCAGGCAAGATTAGAAATCTCGCTTCGCTCGAATAAAAACCGATTGGAGTCCAGAAATATGTAAAATATTCCCCTGCACAGCTCTGCCAGGTCAAACAGAAAAGAGATCGGGGAGAAGCCATTCCGGTATGCTGTATATTTACAAAGTTTTTTCGTTTTGACTTGATTTTTATGCGGTTGACCCAGACTTTGCGCACTCGTTGCTCGACGACCACGGCACCGATCGCTGCCAAAGCGTGCTGCTGTTCTTTAGACCACCTTTACAAATCTGAGCAAAAATAAGCACTCAATACGGTCCTCGGCGCTTTTCAGAATCACACACAGACACAGACAGAGAGTTAGGGTTAGGTACATTCGCACAGCAGTGTTCTTTGTACCTGCGGCTTGAACGCTCTCCGGACAAACTTGTTAGAGGTTCATGGGAACCATAAAATCTCTTCTTCAAACTAGTCACTCACTCGCTTTCCCAGGTCGTCCCTAGCAGACGGCGACCTGGTCTCGTCCAGTTTGGCTTCAATCCCCGTGCGTCTGTCAATCCCGAGTGTGTCTGGGTTCGTCAACATACTTCGTAGCGGCCCTTCGTGCTCCGCCAAAAGCACCTGGAGTGCCTTGGCCGATGAAGAGTCTACTGCTGCCACCGGTGAGTCGCCCTGCTTCGTCTCCGACACCAAGCTCTCATCGCTATCTGAGTAGCTTCCCCGGTACACGGGCGGTAGTTGCTCTAGAGCTTCACCGATGGCAACATCAACCCCAAGATAGTGCTTGCTATCTAACCTCCTAGACTCTGACGCCGCATGCGCGGCTTGCAACTTGTCACGCAAGCTTATGAGCTCCTTCGGTGGGCCCTTCATGCCGGTGGGGTGTGGCGGGGTGTGGTGGGGTGTCATCGCTCACACGTGTTTTTTTTTTAATCCGTGACGTGAGCGCATGCGTATGTCTAAATGCGGCCCAAATAAAAAGAGCTCAACACATCTCTCGCATCTATATCTATCACACATACACCCAACGATAGTATGCTTGCGTCCATGGCGTCCAAGCCCCGGGGTGACCTCGAAGCGGGCGATGCCAATGGCTCCTTGAGCTCTCCACCAGGAATTAGGGGTGATGTGGTCGTCGCCGGCGACAGCGGTGGGTCCTTGAGCTCTCCACCAGGAATTGATGATGTTGCTGTCGCCGCCAACGCCGGCGATCAACTGGCCATCTCTTACAGGGATGCGAAGATCGATGCCATCCTGGCCGAGATCGACAACGCGGTCCCGAATAGCGCGCCCAGTCATCTGCCCGAGACGGAAGAGCTCAAAGATTTTTGTCATGACGCTGTTTGCACCATGCGCGAGTTCAGGGACGAGATTCTGAAGCTGACGACGGATATTCTTGCACCAGCAGGAGACTTTATGTTGCTACATCCCGGCACCGGCCCTGAGAAACTTGACAAGGCTTTGCGAGACGCACTGCTTTACATTGAGGCCAGTTCCGCCGCAAGTAAAGCAGCAATCGACGCAGACACAGCTAGGTTCGGAATACCTGTGGGAAAAGCTCCCCCCACATTGTCCGACGTGGTGTACAAAGTTTCACAATCGGTGCTATTCCACGTGAATCAAGTCTGCGGCACTGCCAAGGTGGGTGTCTTTGCTTCTTGTTGCTCTTGTACAATTTCAAGACAAACCCACCTCTTTTCCTGGTACAAGCGATGCGTTCATCGTGTGTGGACTTGTCTAATACCGTTGGTTCTTCTACAACATCTCGCTCGTTTGCAGTGATCGCGCTCCCCTGTGGGCAACAAGCCTGACAACAAGACAAGTTGGTGGTCATCTTGTGTCTCGGACTTGTACACGGCGAGCGGTAGAGGAAGTTTACGTGTAATACTAACATGCTTTGTCGTATCCCCCAAATATTCGACGAAAAGGTGCCATGTCGTACAGTACAAAGGGGAGATTGGTTTAAAAAAATGATACCCCCCCTCCCTCCCTCTCTCCATGTACCGGGTTTCACTGTTATTCGAACTAATTTTCGCGACTATTTAGGCATCACAACACGTCAGAGCTGACGCATCCAGAACGTTGACGTCATACGCGTTCGCACTACGAGTGTGTTATGGTGTATGCATTGATTGGCGGTATTACAACTGAACATGCTGTCCTTTGTTGGTGTTGTTGAGGGTGTTTCGGTGTGTGTATTTTTTGTTCCCCCCCCCCCCCC